AATGTTTTGAACAATCAATTAAAAAAAAGAAGATAGACTAGTGCTTAGTACTGGGCAACTTTTTCTTGTTCCTGTGCACAACGGTTTGTGCTATTACTCCTGTTTGATTAAAAGTAATAACAAATCAACTACTTGCTGTAACCATGGCACCGGTTCCAGTCAGTAAATCAAGAAAGAATAATCAAGGTTTGGCAAATAGTTTGGGACATTTGTAACTATTATTAAAAGTTAAATAAGCAGAACAACTCAAAGCAAAACACGAACTGAAAGTACAAATGCTTGCTTATGCATAAGCCAAGATACATTCTTCTATTTTAATTGTAGCTACGGAATATTTTGTTTTGTTTGAATAATGATTCTTGTTCTATAACCACAAAATACTGTAAGCCTGCCAAAATGAAAAGTATATATGATCAACTTGACAAGTAAAGATTGGGATCAACACCTCACCTTTACTTTTGTGTCTGTGTTGTTTCTCCACGCACTCTTTCGCCGACTCCTCACCATCTGTTCATCTCCTGAGACCCCCTTTTGGAGCTGGTCTTTGATAGGGCTAAATCAATAGGAAACAAATCATAGAGATAGAACTTGAAACTACTTTAGTGTGCCAAGTTTTAAAGAGCTAGCACAAACCGTGTTTGATTTAGAGTTCCAACTACATGTACCCATATAGGAGAAAACAGAGTGAAACCTAAAAATGAAAATGGTTACTGCAAACGAACGGTTTAACCTACAAGAACGAAACATGGTTAGCCACGTGGGATTGGTGTACTTATCATTACCTGAAAGTATCATCAAGATTGGGTGAAAAAATGTTTGCTGGGATTTCAGGAAACTCGTAGTTTTTTGGAAGCTTGGCAACCCCTTTAAATAAAAGTGATCATCAGTCTCTGCTTCAGGCTACATCAATAAGAAACAAAACATAGAGATAAAACTTGGAAATAATTTATTGGGTATAGTTTCAAAGAGCTTGCAGAAACCGTGCTTGATTTAAAGTTCCACCTAAGTGTATTTATATAGGAGAAAACAGAGTAAAACCTAAAAATGAAAAGGGTTACTTCAAACGAATGGTTTAACCTAGAAAAATGAAATTTGATTAGTAAAGTGGGAATGGTGTACTAATCACTACCTGAACGTATCATCAAGATTGGGTGAAAAAATGTTTGCTGAGATTTCAGGAAACTCGTAGTTTTTTGGAAACTTTGGCAACCCCTTTCTATTAGAATGATTTTCGTCAGTCTCTGCTTAAGGCTACATCAATAGGAAACAAACCATATAGATAGAACTTGGAACTATTTAATTGTGCCAAGTTCAAAGAGCTAGCACAAATCACGTTTGATTTAGAGTTCCAATTACATGTAACCATATAAGAGAAAATAGAGTGAAATCTAAAAATGAAAACAGTTACTGTAAACGAACCGTTTAAAATAGAAGAACGAAATTCGGTGAGCAAAGTCGTATTGGTGTTCTCATTATTACTTGAAAGTATCACCAAGATTGGGTGACAAACTGTTTGCTTAGATTTCAGGAAACTCATAGTTTTTTGAAAGATTGGCAACCTGTTTCAATGAATGTGATTTACGGTAGTCTCTGCTTGGGGCTACATCAATACGTAACAGAGCATAGAGACAAAACTTGTAACTACTTTATTGTTCCTAGATTCAAAGAGCTAGCACAAACCGTGTTTGATTTTCAGTTCTAACTACATGTGTCCATATAGGAGAAAACAGAGTGAAACCTAAAAATGAAAACGGTTACTGCAAACGAACGGTTTAATCTAGAAGAACGAAATTTGGAGAGCCAAGTGGGATTGGTGTGCCAATCGTTACCTGAAAGTATCATCAAGATTGGTGAAAAAAAATGTGTGCTTAGATTTCAGGAAACTCGTAGTTTTTTGAAAGCTTTGCAACCCCTTTTAATGAAAGTCATTTTTGTCAGTCTCTGCTTTGGGCTACTTCAATAGGAAACAAACCATAGAGATAGAACTTGGAACTACCTTATTGTGCCAAGTTTCAAAGAGCTAGCAGAAACAGTGTTTGATTTAGAGGTCCAAATACATGTATCCATATAAAAGAAAACATTGTGAAACCTCAAAATGAATATGATTACTGCAAACGAATGGTTTAACCTAGAAGAACAAAATTTTTTGATCCAAGTGGGATTGGTGTGCTGATCATTACCTGAAAGTATCATCAAGATTGGGTGAAAAA